CACCAGGAGACAAGGTGTCTAAATTAAAAATCCACCTCATCTCGAAGCGGCTCAATGTAGATTCTATATTGCCACCCCTCCAATTAGTTTTAATACTCTGAATACCATAAAAAGTAAGCATGTAGGGTCTCCTCCGTGAACTTTCAAAAAGTGCGAGGAAACATTATGCTTCAAAAAGCCCCTTTTAATGTTGTAAATATGCTCACGTATCCTCATCTTAAGTGTCCTTGAGGTCTTCCCAACATATTGAAATGCGAGCACATAAACAACATTTTTCGAATGGCAAGTAATTAATGAATCAATTTTAAAATTAAACAATCCTACTCGTGATTTGAAATTTTCTATTTTTTAGGTTTATTTTTAAAATTCCTACAATCACCACAATAATAAAAACCTTTATTGTTATCCTTATAAGTGCCTAAAAAAATATTACTATTCTTGGGTTTATCTAAATAACTTCGAGGTCAGGATTTGTCTGAGATTTTTGGCACCCCTAAAAACTATTTTGGGTTTATTTTCAATATAGGGTAGGATATCTGTATCCTGTTGTAGGATATGCCAATTTTTATTAAAGGACCACTCTAGGCACCCAGACCACTTCAGCTTAATGAAGTGGTCTGGGTGCCAGGTCCTTCTAGGGTTAACCCATTTTTTCATAATTATAGCAGTTTCAGAGAAGCTGCTATAAATGAATGGGTTAAGCCTTCCCCCTAATCCTCTAGTGGCTGTCTCATTGACAGCCACTAGAGCGCGCATGCTTCTCACTGTGATTTTCACAGTGAGAGCACGCTAGCGTCCATAGGAAAGCATTGTAAATGCTTTCCTATGAAGGTTTCAACTGAATGCGCAGCTCTTGCAGCGTGTGCATTCAACGGCGGGAGGCGGAGGAGGGAGGAGGAGAGCTCTCCAGCGCTGGAAAAAGGTAAGTTTTTACCCCTTTCCCCCTTCCAGAGCCGGGCGGGAGGGGGTCCCTGAGGGTGGGGGCACCCTCAGGGCACTATAGTGCCAGGAAAACGAGTATGTTTTCCTGGCACTATAGTGGTCCTTTAAGGACTTTTTTAAGAGCTTTATGTTCCTTGTTGTAATTAAAAATCATTGGAATCGTCTTATCTTTATTTTTATTGTCCTTAGATTTATATGTTAGAAGAGATTCCTTATCCATCTCTTTCACAATATTAATCTCATCTTCAAATCTTTCGGAATGATAACCCCTATCTAAAAATTGTTTCTTAAGAAAATTGGCTTGATTTTCAAAGGAATTCAAGTCCGTACAGTTACGTCTTAGACGGACGAATTGGCCCCTAGGAATATTATCAAGCCATGGTTGGAAGTGGCAGCTATCCCTGTGGGGACAGCCTGGAAAAGCTTATTTTCCACAAGCGACAAAGTTAGAGCCTGCTATTTTAGGCTCTATATATCGTGAGTGACCCATTACCTCTGTCATACACTTCATACAGTATTATGCTATGTATACATTAATATATTTTTCAGATTAACTTTAAGATCTACAACTACTAAGTATATGTACTTTGTTTTCCTTTGAGTTGCACCCCCCACTTTGTTATACTGTTATTCCACTATTTGTTAGTGTCTTTTAGTGATTTTTAGACACTGGGGGTAGTTGCTACTTTGTACTATTTAGCGCCAATCCAC